AGAGCTGACTGGTTACAAGAAATCGACCGTCAAAATGTTTGGAAAAAGCAGTCTTTTGTTTACATGTGACTTATACTAAAGCAATATTCTAGTGTAAAAATATTAAAGCCATTGCAGGAGATGCGTGGGATCAAAACCAGAGAAACATCAAGGAGAAGAATACGAAGTTATACGAAAAATCTGTGGAAAAATTTCATTAGCCCAATACACACATGTTGGAGATCCATCCATTCAATGATCTAGCCACCGATTTGGCTCTATTTTCCCTTTACTGCCTCTTCATCGGAAACTGAGCCGGATTTCCATCAAAAATTTGTCCATGACTGTGGATTTAGCTAGAAAGTAGCAGGCTGCGGTATTTGACGCGTAGAAGGCTAATATCTTCGTCAAGCGCGAAATTTTTGGCTTCCGCACCGCAGGCGCCGTCGAGGTAGTCAGACTCGTCGAAGATGAATATCACATTGGTTTGCTACCAGTGAGCCTGTAACCTGCTTTAACCGGCGCCAAACATCCTGGTTCTTGAGGAGTGGGGGCAGTAAAAGGTAAATAGTGGCTTTGGTCTTCACGCAGCAAAGCAGTGAAGTGGGAAATAGCGATCAACCCTCTGACGACCGCTCGTTCTAAGCGTATGTATCTGACGTGGGACCGCGCGTGTTTTGGTGAAATGCGGCCGTGGTCCACCGGTGGGCCACACAGTCCCAGAAAACCCCCGTTTCCTTTGTGTATAACAGCACTGACTCAACAACAGGTTCATTTCGCGAACCATCATAGAACAACTATGCGTTTCATTGAGAAGGAAACATTATTGAGATTTAGATCGTGACTTATTGAGAAAGAGCTCAGAATTTATATGTATTTTTTACTAAACTGTCGGAATGTTGGCTGCCGAGGAGCTGCTCTCTTGCGTAATCTGCGCATCCAAAAAAGAAGTACAGGGTAGATTTTGATGAAGCGTTATTTTGAACTCACTGCCCAAAGCATTTCAGCATTACCCTGTTGATGATGCTTGAATTTTTGTTTCATTCCCCATAGCGATTATTTTTCTTTGCTGAAGTTATACATAGCATTTTCTGGACCATCCTATGTGTGGCTTTGCGGAAGGAGCTAATTAATCATTGTTCGAAGACTTGAAGATTGATGAAAATAGGCAATTATCGAGGATTTTTTTTGCTGTGGCCCGCCGGTGGGCTCAAAGGGTAACACTACTTGAAAGTGGCTGGCTCTGATTTCGGGCAGTAGGGCTGATTTGTATATTCAGACATATATTATTCCATTTTCGGCATAATATTTGATTAAACATACAGTGCTATGAAATGCCGTGGGCTTGTTGTGGTGCTCTGCTTATATGAACTGACGCCGCTCCCTTCGGCCGTATGCCCTTGAGATTTCGAATGTGGCTCAATTTTCTCTGATGATTTTTCTGAATTTACTTATTAAAAACCCTTTGGGGACGGGGTAGTTTTTTTAGTTTTTAGATAATAGTGAGTTAGGAATCCATCTGCTCTAATATGCTATAACAAATCCTCATCTGTCTCCTCATAAGTCTTTATAGCTTTGTTCGGATTTTGGAATTTTTGAACCGAGTTACTCATGACCCTGGCGGAAATCACGGTTGAGTTGCGGACGAGTGACATGCAAATTGCCTTTTGTAACTTCTTTCCTGCCCTTGGTCAAACTTGGGCTGTTAAGCCGTACCCTGCGCCTCGTCGTTTGCCTCCTTCTGAAGTGATTTTCGGGGCTCTATGACTTAACGCCGAAATAGCGGATCTTGAGGAAAACGCCAAATCCATCTGTACGCCCATTTGAGAAAATTGAGGCTCATGAATAGCTGACCATAGGAAATTCATGGTGTCATAAATTATGTTTGAACTACCGAGCTCGAATAATTCATATTGTCAATTACCCAGTCCATGTCGGGGAAGACAAATGATCCGTAGATTTTACGTGTTTCCTTTTTTGCCAGTGGCATCTAGTCTCCATCCAACAGCCGCGCTTCCTTTCCTGTCGCTTTTCTTTTCATGAAAGGGCGCCCACTGCGTTGGAATCCGCTTATGAAGCCACCCTTTGTGTGAAGTTGATCGATATCCATTGATCCTTTGTGTGCGAGTTTTCATACTATTCGTTTCAAGTTCTGGTATGTGAGTGAACTTTCCGTTTGAAGTGTCTTTTGTTTTGGATGACTAGAAATGTTACCAAAAGCTTCAGCTGATCCATCATTGCCTTTTACTACGCGCCTTGCAAAATTGCCTTTTGAAAAGATCATACGGCTGTTTGTTGTTTACAGGCGGAAGTGGTGTTGTGCAACGCTTACCCCACGCGGTCCCGGGATCGAATCCTGGGTCGTGAGTCGCCCGGGCCAACCAAGCCTTCCATCCCTCCGGGGTCGGTTAATTGGTACCAGACTTGTCTGGGAGGATAAAAACACTGACTTGTACATCGGCTGGCCCCCGCAAGTCATTGTATAGGCCACATCGCATTCAAACGCCACTACGAATGTACAAATGGAAGTAGAATGCGTGCCGCATCCAAAAAGGGATTGATCAACGGCAAATGCTTTATCCACTTACATAGGCTGTTTCTCCTTTTGACGTAAATTCTATCCGGGGTCTGGTTGTGAGAAGCGGTGTAGCGGCATATGACCTGCTGACCACAAGCGCGATCCGAGGATCAAATTTGGGCGCGCTACCCAGCTAAGGCCAACCACGCTATGCGGCTCGTTGGGGTCGGTTTGTTGGTATTCATGTTTGTCTGGAGTATAAATTCGCAAAGATTCCGGACATGTCCTTAATTAGCTTAAATTGGGGCATTCAAATGCAGCTGTAAGTTCGAGTTTGAAACGGGGTGCGTGGCGCTCCAGAGGGTTCAGGCATATCAATCCATTAGCTGATTAGCTGTTGCGTTGGCCACGTGATTTCTTGACGAGCCCCATACGTACATGAAATGTGGACGTTCAGTTTCTCCTCTGAAGTCAGGTCACCAGAGTTGCGCGATCATTGAAACCCCAGGTCAAGCTCGGGTTTAGGCTTAGGCTCAGACTAACGCCTAAACATTTTCTTATGCTTAAGCCTATGACTACACTGACTACACCTAGACACATAGAAACGATCTCTCTGTGTCTCTAACTTTTTCTCTTCTTTGATTTTATGGTTCAGTTGAGGTTAAGATTATTTTTATGCCAGCACTAAAGCGAACCTCATATTTCGGTCATTCACTTTCATTATTTCTCATATTTATCCATATAAGACCAGCAACGCAGCTACCCGAGCAGCGAATTTGTCCCTTAAAGCCTTGGCAACATCGCGATTGGGAGAATTGCGGTGTTGCGTATTGATCAACCGCGTAATAGCCCTTGTGAACTCCAAATAAAGCTCATGGAAGACAGGTCCGGTTCGAAGTGGCTTCAGACCAACCAGATCTGATCATGATATGGAAGACTGCGGATACTTTATGATTGTAATGCTATAAAAGCAGCCAGATATGAGCTTGGTACAGACGTTTTTGCGCTGTAATGGGTACTAAACTTCTGGAATTGCTGTGAGTCGTAGACCAAGCCACCTTTCGCTGGTCCGTGGCTTCGCTCTAACTCGCGAGATTATCTGTTCTTTGCTAAGCATATTGTGATGACCTCAAAAAACCTTGTGATTTTTGTGATTCCTTGAGTCGAGAAATGCTAATTTATTTAGTGGGGTCAGAATGTTATCAGTGACATTCGTAAACATTGATAAGTGTTTTTTTTTCCTATGGAATAGGTTGGTTGAGTTAAATATTTTCTCAACCATCGGTGAAACTGTTTCCACCCCCCCCCCCACCCCCTTCTATTTTCTAAATCAATTCATTTTCTGTTTACACAGCTTTTTGCGTTATTGGACAATAATTCCCATCTCTACAATTGTTTCTCATTGTTTCTCATCGCCATCAATCTACAGGTTCTACGGTTGGAATGTTGAGTTTTGGCTAGTGATTTCAAGCTTGGGCATTTAAGGGCATTCCGTTCTTTTCTTGAGGAGCTTTGTTGGTCGTCTTCTCAGAATCCCCATTAAGTGAAATTTTCGTGGCATTGATTTCCTTTAATTTTCCCAAGAAAATTTGAACTAGAAACCCTCAACTTGACTCTTCGTAATACCTCGGTTCGGGTTTTGAGCCAAGTTAAGCCCGAGGAAGACGATCTGGTCAAATTAGGCCATCAATAAAGTTCCCACCTGAAAGCTGGCAGAGGAAAAACATTAGTTTTTGAGCGAGCTCTTGAAAATGTTCTTTTTTGGTTTTTTGACGTAAGATTGAGCAGAATTGTTTAAGGGCAGGGTCAACCGTCCGTTGGACAAAGTCCAACGAGGGGGGTCGTATTCGGCCGACGAAAAGGGGGGGGGGGGGTACATATTCGCAAGGTTGGAAGCAGCGTCAATCTACACTCCTACACTAACGGGGGGGGGTCGTAGTGTGGTGCTTTAAGATTTGTGAGTACTAAGAAAAAAATGCTGTTTCACTGTTGATATTTAGGGGTTGACTCTGAAGGAGAGTCGTATAGAGGCCGTCCAGGAGGAGGGAGGGGGGGGGTCGTAAAATCTTTGAAATTTGTCCAACGTGACAGTTGACCCTGTGTGAGGGAAGGATGGACTTCATTCTATCTGCGGTTCCCTGTCTCTGTGTCGGTCTGTTTGTTTACTCTCTTTGGTACGGCTTTTTCTATGTCTGCTTTCCCTTTATTTTTACCATGTTTCCACTGCATAGTTGGCAGCGTGGCTATAGCTCTGAACTCTCACTAAAGCTCTTCATTGCCGAAATAAATCGTTTTCTCCTTGAATGATGGTCGACGTTCCCCTGAATTATCCGCCTCTGTTCGATACCCGGAAAAAAAAAAAAAGAAAGGCATTAAGCCGGCCCGATTATACGAAGTTATACGAGAAACGCATTATCGAGCTATTATTCATTTTTGCTCGCCACCTGGCCATCGAAGCGGCTTGTGCCTGCCTGTCTGAGTCGCGTCAGTCCGGTCCTTCCTGATGGGATTGTACAGGAAAAGTAAGTTTTCCGAATATGCTGATAGTTTAATTAGAATGCATTATGTAGCGTCGTCAACTGATGAAGATCATAATTTTATTGAAAAACAAAAATAATTAAAAATCAAAAATAATAATAAAAAATATTATGGTTAATACATTTGTTCAAGATCCGTGAGGGTTTGTTGTTAGTTTGAAAATTGAAAGTGGATGGGCGGTCCGTCACGGCTGACCGCCGTTGCCAGTAAAGAGTGACCATGTGGCTAGGCCCGTATGATGACCTTGATTTTTCGTTTTCGTCTTTGTTACGACTTTGGCACCGTTTCAGAATGGGAGCAGCCGTCTGGCACTATGCTATTCCAACCGGTCAGCACCTCCTCACCGCTAAATTCCAATCGATTTGGTCAGTTTCACCTTTAGTTCTTTTTTTTTTTTGGAGCATTGGCCTCTACTTGTAGAGTAACTGCGGTTTCTATGAAGTTTCTCTTGTACTAATGACAAGGGAAGCGCATTAATTGGCGAGGCCGACGACCTTCTCTGAAGGCGAATCCTCCTCCATCCCACTTAAAAGTGTACCTCACTTTCCCCAGAAAAGGTCCGCAGAGAGAGAGGGTACATACTCTAATCAAAAGCAAGAAACATCCCAAATTTCTGGAATTCTTTAATTTCCGTGAATTTCTAAGTTCTCATTCAGGTTCTTCTGAAATCTTGATTTTTTAATCATCTCATACTTGGCTAGTGGCCATCGCAGCCGCCTGCCTGCTCATGCAAATATGTCGAAGCTACAGTCTGAGTGCAAGCGTGGCCAGTATCCACATAGTGATCGTCTTCTCGTGCTGTGACATGGATTGATTATTTTTCACAAGAATCTTGAATTATGAGTAAACTTGGACTCCTGGGGTTCTCGACCCCATCTTTGCTATCCTATCAATTGTGCATCCACTTACGCTACCGGGATATCATATCCCCCAAGGTTATTTTAATATTGCAGGCTGTTTTACGTTGAAACATTAGCCTGCGAAGAAATCTTGAGGTCTAAAATGCTTTCTACTTTTTTCAACGGGAGGAAAGTGAGGCAACCACATCGACTTCTCAGGCTCTTCGTTGACCCTTGAAGCTCTTTTCGCTAACTATAGGTTCACAGAACTCAACCTCAGATTCTTTATTTGTACTCAAGTTTTTGGCAGTTATTTTCCAGGGTTTTTTATTGTCTTGGTGTTAGTTTGTGTTTTTCTTTTTTCATGGACGCGTTTTCAAGCACAATTAAATGAATAAATCCTGGACGTTGTGAATCCTTTTCCGCTCTACTCTACCGATTGCACCAAATATTATCATTTGCTCGCAACAATTACCCTCCCCTCCCGTTTCCATCGCGTCAAGAAATTCTTAACGTTGGCTGGAATTACCTGCATGAACAGATAGGCGTCCCACCTAGGCCAGTTTCCTAGTACTATTCCTAATCCAGGGATGGCACGAACACGCATTAGGGTGTTCGTGCCATCCCTGGATTAGGAATCGTACTGGGAACATAGCTTTTACGGATTTTCGCCCGGCTTGTGATATTCTTGATAGGCAAAACACTCTATCATCAGAAATCCGTAATCTCTTTGCATCTGGAAACCTTCGAAACAGTTATACCATTCTCTAGATTGGAACTTTCCATTCGTTTTTAATTAAAGGCAAACCCCAGGATTGGCTCGACTAGTAGGAGAGGATACCGCGAGGAAAATTGTGGGGTTCGTACCTTTATAGATCACACCAGCTTCGTTGCCCAAATTGCGCGATTAGGGCGCTAATCCATTACGAACCTGCAACCATCGACCTCTCGCTGCAACGCTTCCCACCCACCGCGTCGACTATAGAGATCAGCGTGCTCTTCTCGAACGACGTGCTCAACGGCTCGTATGTTCTGCGGTGTTCTTGATCACCCTGTCTCGCCATCGTACCACATCCGACGTAACTGTAGGTTAAGGCCTTAATTTTAGCGCTTTTGATGATTCCTCTCCTCTATCCAATTTCAATTCCTTTCGCAGTTCAGTAATTGCTACGAAACGCCATTGTACACCAGTTTTATCATTAGGGCTTGCGCTTTAACCACTTTCAGTCACCTGAATTTTTTTCTGCATGAAAAATATTTTCTTGCTACTGTTTATTACTTGTGAGCACCTAGCTAGAACTATAATGAGATTTGGGTGCATTTCGACCATCTACTGTAGGAAGCCGTGAAAATCTTGGTTTTTAGCTTGTGTCGGAAAAACTTCAAATTTCTTGGTTATGTCGAAAAAGTTTATGATCTTGCACAACATTATATCTCACTTTTTTGTAAGAAAATAAATATACTTCAAGTATTTTAGAAATGATTGACACTTACTAGCAGGTTGCTGAGACCAGCGCCGATTCATTGTTGCACTTGTACACAAATACTTGTAATGCTAACAGCAACACACAATAAAATGGCAGGTTTAAAGCATAATTAGGAAGGGGAAGGTTGACTGAAGCAACCTCTAGCAGGATTAGAAAAACCATGCTGTTTCAGCGGTAATGCAAGACGTTTGAATTTGATGGTGGCAATTGCCACCGCCAGGGCCGAAAGGGTTAAGGGGGAAGAACTGCTGTGAACTCCATTTTGTGGTTCGTGTGCCTTGAAACCCGAGTCCATTTTCATTAGGGTAGCATTAGGTCTTGGTATTTTCTTTCTGCAGTGAGCCTACATTCGACTTTTGGGATCACATTTGCATTTGGATGTAGTTTCGCTGCACAATAACCTGCGGGGGGCAACCAATGTATAATTCACTGTTTTTATCATTCCCGACGAGCCCGGTATCAATATTAGGCATAAAAGGCTTGATTAGTTAGAGCGAGATTCGTTCCCTGGACCATGCGTGGGCTAAGTGGTGTAGCTGAATTCATCACCTCCGTCATGCTTCCAGGTACACGATATCGTCTTCCTCTTTCTGTCTTGTTTCAACTGTTTTGTCATATTTGTTAGCGAGCTCTGGAGGTTTTTGAATTTTCTGCTTTCCTTGATTTTTTGATAAAACCTGGCTGGCGATAGTTCCTTTTTAACAAAACTTCCAAGCCCTCCAATAGGTTGCATTCTGATAAAAAAAGATTATCGATCCCGCAGAGAAAAGGTGGCATCGCTGAAAGTGAAATCTCCTGATGCGGTTCTTATTTATAGGGTAATTACGGTCATTGGTGCATTTCAACTATTCGGACCAATTTTTGCCTATTTCTCAGAATTATTTTCCTGGAATAAATAAAGTAATAGCTGATGTTTTTTTTTAGAGCGCAGTCCCGTACACAGTACAGACGCAGTACGTGGACTACTCGACTGGCACACCTCGTTCGAGTCGTATGCAACCGACGCAGTCACAATCACAAACGCAGTCACCAATGATGTCGTCGCAAGTGACAACTGCCATGCGAACGCCATCTGGAACGCCATCCCAAGCAGGGCTATCGCAAATTGCCGCGATTTCCCGTATGCAGCAGAAAGCGGCACTTCGAAGGGATTCACCAGATCGAGTTAGCCTGAGCAAACGACACATGCAAGATGGACAGGTTGGTGCCGCCTGCGGCTTTTTTAGTATTTTTTTTTTTAAAGCGCTTCATAAGGATAATACTATCCTTCTATTTATATAAAGCGCTAACTTTGTGTGTCGGTTTGTGTATCTGTATGTGTGTGTGTGTGTGTGTGCGTGTGTGTGTATGTATGTATGTGTGTGTCCGTCCGCAAAATGAAGTGAGTGAGAAGGAAGCTCATGGGATAAACAAACCGCTAACAAATCGGGTAGCTTACAGGATTTGAGATATCAATGTTTTGTAGCAGGATAGTTGTGATAACACTCTTAGGGCTATATAAACACCTGCTTAGCACACTTCCGTTCATTCCACATGGTGCTGCAGTGGCAGCTGGAGGGCAGTGGAGAGAGGAAGGGAGGATGAGGAAGGGAAGCGAAAAATCTACCGTCATATCATGATTGTGTCCCTTCTACTGTATGAAACACCATTGTGTTGCATACGCGTCACTTCCAGGAGGTGTTGGTGTCACAGGAGGAAGGGACCATAGCGGAGGATAGAAAGCTTGCGCAGGAAAGGAAGGTCCCGGCGGTTGACGGGGGACTAATCTGGTAAAGGATAAAGCATTTGCCGTTGATCAATCCCTTTTTGGGATGCGGCACGCATTCTACTTCCATTTGTACATTCGCAGTGGCATTTGAATGCGATGTGGCCTATACAATGACTTGCGGGGGCCAGCCGATGTTCAAGTCAGTGTTTTTTATCCTCCGGCGACACGCGTCGATATCTAATTTAACCGACCCGAAGGGATGAAGGCTGGTTGGCCAGAACTGCGCAACGACCTCCAGGAATTCGATCCCCTAACAGGGAGTGGGGCATGCGTGCGCCTTGCCCCTACACTATTGGCTGCCAGTTCATAAAATGTTGAAGTACGAATTAAAGTAGGATTGCGATATCGTGCGGCGGTAAGGAAGAAATAAGAAAAACCTTCAAAAACCACTAAATTCGTGCCCGCATTTGTTTGGTGATTTTGAACTAGTTCGCAACTCAGTGCTCGTTTCATTGCGGTATGGATTACGGTGGAACCAATTCAACCATACTGATAAATCGTTCTTGTCTGCACCCACTCTTCTGGGATCGAATCGCGCGGACAGTGAGTGCATGGTTTGTCGTCCACGTCAAGCAAGCCTTCCTTCAAGGTTGATGGATTGACGCCAATGAGAGTATATTGTCCGAGAGTACTAGGACTGAATTATAACGGATGTCCCAAATAGTTGCATAGGCGAAAGCGCACAACGATTCGGAGTGGGGAAGAATGCGTGGCTCATCTCAGAAAATGATTGATTGCTCTGTAACTGCTATACAACATCGGAGGGTTGGCAAAAATCTGATTTACTGCGTCGTCTTCTGTGGCTGCTTTTTTAAGGGAATATTTGAAACAAAGTCGTGGTCGGCTTTCCAGTTAATCTCAGCCGGGGATTATAGCGCATGTTAATCTTTTGAAGTGTACCCCAAGCTGACCAATAGCCGAGTCACTTTTGAATCAAAGCACCTTCCTCATTGGTAGGTTTCTTCCTCCTGACCATTTTAAAAGATGAGGCTCATCTATGGAAGGGCGTTGTGGTCGAATGACTCTGCTCATATGGTCAACCCATAAGGTTACTTTATTTCAGTTATTTTGGAGGGATCCTTTGAAATTGAGCAGCTAAGCAGCAATGTGTTTCCTCTCTATCCTACCACTCAATGGAATTGGATTGCTCCTTCTCCATTAGCGTCCACGTTTCTATTCTAGGAATACATATGAACATTAAAGCCAAACTGTATGCCACATAGGCGGATGCCGCAGTCGATTGATTTCAAAGTGCATGAAAATACAGATTTCGAAATCCAGTAACGTGGAATGGTGCTAGTCCTAGTGTTTTTGATTTGGGGGAAAATTGGCAGTGTTAGCCCAGCTATAATATTTACTTTGGTGTGGCTTTTTGCTTCCACTTTTTGGGATATCATTTAAAGCAGCGTGCAGGAATGGCTATGCCCAATACTGACGGTGCTGATCACTATGGCTGTAACCAGGTAATACTACTGCTACTCATGTTTCAATAATTCCCATGGGTGTCTTGGTCGAAGTCTTGGTTTTTTAACCCTTGCTGTACGTGACATATAAGGAACTTCTTCTACTAGGGATATGGCCGGTGGCTAACCGGCTTAGTAATAGTTTTGATGGCTTATATAATTATATTTGATTGATTTTGGTGTAATTTTTTGCAAAACGTTTATAAGGATTTGCAAAAGGTTTATAAGGATTTTGTCTGAAAACCAGGTAATAAAGTAAGCTACGTGCCTAACTATGCCGCGTTTCACTTGTGTGAGCCTTAGAATGGAAGTAGACCTACTCGGACTGAGCAAACATCACACTTTGTAGGCTCGTTGATTGAAATCAGGCTTGCCCTTTTGAATAATTATACTTCAAAATTGAGCACAGCATTAATTTACAAATATTGCATAGGTCAGATGATACACTTTATGACTTTCTCGTTTCTCTAGCGCATGCCAAATGGCATCAATTAACGCCTTATCCTTCAACCCTTTGACTCCAGGTGGTCCACATATGGTACATTGCGGTGGTAAATGTGCGCCGCTGTGAGTAAAAGGGTAGAAGGGGATAGAGAAATTATTACGTTCGTGTCGCACCCACACATATGCTCGGTGGGTTCACCAGTTTCCTGGCTCGCAACTGGCCTGGACCTTTCCGTTTCTCGTGGTCGACTAGTTGTTAATATTCCTTTTTGTAGGGTTAAAAACACTAATTTCCACCTTAAAATGTCTCTGCAAGGCCTACACGTGGCCTTGCAGCGGCACAAGGTGAATTTTGGTGCTTTTGCACCCGAAAACCGCGAACACATTTTGCATGGTCGTCAAATGCATGGCGTTTTCCAGACAAAAAAAAGGTTGTCGGACCTAAAGCGCGTTATCCTTTGGTATCCCATTACTTATCTTTTCATTATCGAACACGACCAGGAAATTTCATTTCGGCCCTTCAATCTTGCCTTCAATAGAAAACCTTAGCTATCTTGACTGTTTCACAGAAGTTTCTGTCAGATGTAAACGGGATTCAGTTCGGAAGAACTCTAAGTTCGTCCTTTCTTTACGGATCTCTCGTAAACCCGATTCGATGTGTTATAAACGTAACGGTTGACACAGCCATAAAAGGCAAAGTAAAGATTCTTTTTACCTTTGCATTATCGAGACATTAACCTGGAATCCTCTATTCTTTTCAGCCGCGAACCGTATGGTCACCTCAAGCATTGACACCAAAGCGGTCCACGTCGAATATGCAGTCGATTGCGCCATCAGGAGCTGCAGCAAGTGCGATCACACGACGACGTGAGTGACTTTCCTTGGCTTACATTTTCTATAAAGTTAAGTATCACCGGGTCCATGATGGCACAGCACCTAAATTGTCGTCT